CCTTGCCGTCTTCCTTCCCCTCCTCGCCCAAAGGAACTTCACCCGTGCTCTTTGTGGGATCGATTTTGGCCTCCTCCCTCTTCACGACCTCTGAGGCATCAGGCTTCTCAGAATCTTTTAAAGACCAAGCTTCCTCAGAAGGCGGCAAAGCGGTTCTTGAGACCTCAGCCTTGGGCTGCTCAGCGCTAGCACCATTGCCACCAAGGGCTGGTGGATCCATCGGTGCAGGTGGAAATTCTTCAGGAAGTTGACTGTCTTCCAAGTCCAAACCCCCAGGATATGCCAACTCACCTGACAGTGATTGACCGTTTTCATCGATCCAACAATTGTTAACGTGCAGTCTGAGTCTATGAGATTGCGCAGTATGCAGTATATATCTCACCTTTCAACATGCAACCACTTTCCAAAGCCCTACCTTGCTCACTGGCAGCAGCAGACAACTGACCCGCCAAACACTTTCGGACGGTCTCATCACCATCACCCTCCTCATCCGACTCCAGCAAGTCAATGGGCTCCGAGGAATTCAGAATAGATTTCGCAATAGGGGAGGCATCATAGGCTTGAGTTTCATCAGCGTCTGCTCCCAAATTTGCGCTGCTCTTCTTTCTCTCCAGAAGCTTCCTCAAATGGTCCACATATCATGCTGATTTCCCATGACATCTAAGCAAAAGGAAAAAGAAAGTACAAAAACAGTTCAAAAATTCCAGAGTAACAGCTTGAGAATCTTTAGCATCTGGATTTTCTCTTCCACTTCCCCCTTGGTCAAGTCGGAATATTCCTTGATGGCCTTTGCAGGCATGGACTTGGGCTTGAGGGCCACTTGTGAAGGCTGCGCGCCCGCCACTCTCAAAGCTGAACCCTGCTCTGTTCCCTCCTCCACAGCCTTCTCCTCAGACTTCACAGCAATTGACTGATGTGGCACCGGCTCAGCAAAGAGGTTCTCCTTTGGGGGTTCCTCCATGAGCTGTGTCAAAGAAGCAGCATCTTGCTGCGTCATAGTCACAGTGGCCAACTCAGGCAACAGCCCAGCAGGGTCCCATGAACTCTCCACCTTCACGAGCTGAGAATTTTCAATCTGCGACTCAGAAACTGCATCCGTAGACTCTGTTTGCACAGGCTCTGCAAGACTCTGAGTCTTGATAGGGCTGCAGAGGTAAGGATCAACTTTGATCGATACCATGGATTCGTTCAAGTCCTCCTCCACATCTGAATCCTGGATATCGATGACATCACATGAAGGAGTCTGGCGGAGACGCACGTTCCACCATTGAAACAGCTCCTCGTAGAAGATGTTGGCTCCAACATCCTGATGATATCGCAGGATGTTTGAATTACGATGCATTAATAATTACAGTAAGTGATCATGCTTGCACATAATCAAACATCCAGTAAAACAAATGATAAGTCAAAGCCTGTTTATGCACACACAAGGCACTTTGCGGATAGGTGAACCATTGGCATCCTTGTCAAACCCAGACTTTCTGCAGCCATATGTGAACAACTTCTTCAGGGCCCAAGCATCTGCGTGAACCAAGCCCACAGTGTTTGGTATCATAGTAAGTGCTCTGAGTGCGGAAACCTGTCAGGAGTTCTGACCAGTAGTAGTATAGCCTTAAAAAACAACAAGTCAGGATAGCGGGATAGCATTTGTTTTTTGGGGTTCAAACTTTTGAACAATATCCAGGGTCCCTTTTCTAAAACAATTTCAGCACCCCACCTCACGCTTCAACGCTCGGACTGAAGGTGACTTCGGAGACCCTTGTTGAGGACACCACCATTTAGCCAAGACTTGCAAAGGATAAGAGTTCAAAGCAATGGCGGCCATGTTTGGATGACCAATGAGTTCCGGCTTCGGCCAAATCACTAAAGCACCCTCTTGCCTCAAACGGTTCCGAATGTGTCGGTTCTCCTCCCACATCTTAGCCAAGGTAGACTCAGCTGCATCTCCAGTCAGCGGTGCTGGGCTTGCGGAAATCATCGATGCAGCTTTCTCCATGAGATAGGCTACAAAATGAAAAACCAGTGCTTGATAAATGTTTGCACCAAACGGAGGTTTCAAGTTGAAGATTCTTTCAATCAGACTTCCTGCTCCAAAGCACTCTTAGATCGAAATTTTGGTATAGACCAGCTATCGATGTCGACCTATTTTCAATTTGAAGATCGACTTGAAGGGCAAAAGCCAACAAGCCGGAAGCACCTGGAGGACATAGCACCACGGAAAAGGAAACGCTGACCGCCTGCCTGTTTGGAGAGGGTTGGCAGGGTTGGGGAGGTGAACTTCTGATGCAAAGTCCGCCAATTGAAACAAATCATGTTTTTTTTCAAATTAGAGTTGAGCTTAAGTCAGCACCAAAAGTTCTCATGTGCGCCTCGGCCAGGGTTCATTGTCTCAGGGGCCATTGCTGAGATCGATCCAGCTGTTGGTCAATTGACCGTCAGTCATGCACATGTTCTGCGTGGTCACTGAGGGGGATGCAAAGTATTCCTCCATTATAGAGTAGCAACCCCTGTTACATGCGAATGCTTTCCAAGAGCATCATGTTTGGTCCAGAATGGGCTCAAAATCAAGTTCAGCCCCTCGGATTTGGTTTCAGCCCCTCCAAGATGAGAGGCTTTTTCTTTATCAAGTACTAAAATTATACGTGCCTTGGGTGATCTAGGAATATAAATGTTCAACCCAGTGTGGCAGTTGTGGGTATGGACGAGATGCAAATTTAATGCGGGTTCAAGTTTGGGACTTTCATATAAATTTATACATTACAGATAGATACAAAGAATTAATAGATATATATATATATATTTACATCAAAATATTGAATCGATATGAATTGCCATGTCAATTTAAATTACTATTAATGTTACGGATTGGGGTCTGGGGTATGATCGGGCAAAAACACGCGGATTTCTGAAGCAAAATGGAATTATTTCCTACATTTTCGCCTTTTCATTTTTAGTCTTGGCTCCTTCATAATGGGTCTACGGCTTCCGTCGCGGTCCGGACCCCCCCCCCCAAATAATTGGATTATTTTATAAGACGACGGGTATTCCTCGGAATGCGCATGCAAAACATCTCGAGCCAACAGATGAGATGCCAGACATTGCGCACGAGCCTGACGGTGATGACGATGACTTCGATCCTTCAGAGCAGAACTTCAACGGTGGGATATCCGCAGACGCTCGATGAATCGGTCCTCAACCTCGTTAAATAATCCATGGCTTGGAAGGCGGCCAATCACAACGGCTGGCGTCCCTTCAATGCTTTAGGCTTTTCAGGAGCTCGGACTACATGGCAACGATCAGCCGGGAAAATTTAACAAAATGGTCAAGAGCAATTGCAGGAAAACCCATATATTTGTTTCCGGATCAGGGCCTCAATATGAAGGTGTTGCTGGACAGGATCGGCGAACTTTGGGTGGATGGCGGCTTTGGCTCTCGAGACCAATTCTTGAAAATCTATAGACCAATGCCTCGATTATCTGCAGTGAGTGGCTGTCCGCATTTTCTGGCAATTCTGGCGCAACGCTCTGCGATCTGTGGCACTGACCTGTGTCCTGCTTGCCATCCGCCACAAAGGCTGCTGCAAGTGACAAGGAACTTGCAGAAAATGATCGATGAGATTTGCAACAGAACCGGGCGGCAGCGAGTGCCGCTGTCGTGGCCGGTCACAGAGAATGTGCTCTGTTATTGCATGAAAATTATTGATGTGATGAATGGAAGCCAGATCCATGTTCCCTATTGACGGCTAAGAAGGAAAACAAGGTCCGTGGTTTGTCGGTATCTCAATTTGTTCATTTGTTAATCTATCGGTTTCGAATTTTGAGGATCGCATTTTTCCGTTGTTAGAAACAACGGGCCGACCCTAATTCTCTATATTTTAATATCAATATTTATATTTATATAAAATATAAATATGATTAATATAATATATGAAAATTATTCAATATATATATATATCTAAATAAATATATTAATTAAAAATCTTCTAGAAGAATGACGAATTGAAATTTAAAATGACGTATATTTAACGATGCAAATCCCCAATTCAAACGAAAATTTTCGAAATAGGGGGAGGATTCCTATCGACATATTGATTATATTTAAAAATTTACGCCCGACAACCGGCCAGGGGCCCAAAACACGGGAAGGGGGAAGAACAAAGAAAGTGAGAGGAAGGAATATTGTTGATGTCGTTGTTGTTGTTGTTGTTGTTATGGTGGTGGTTGTTGTGGTGGTTTTTGTTGTTGTTGTCGTCGT